TTCATGGTAAAAATTCAAACAGTAAAAAAGGATATAAAATGAAAAGAAGATTCCCTCCCACTTCAAGCCCCTAGTCTCACTACTTTGGCATAACATGAGTAACAATTTCTTATGTATCCTAGAAATTTTCCACGTGTATTTAAGTATGTATGTATGTATACATTCACACACACACACACACACATATACATAGGTGCACACACACATTCACTCATATATGGTTTTTAAAAGAAACACAGATTGGAGCATGCTAAACACGGTTTTATACATCCACTTCCATGTATATCTTGTTGTGCTTTCCATATCAGCATATGCAATCCTACTGATTCCCTTAAAGGCTATACATAGTTGAAATGTTACTTTAGGAAATACCTGAGGTTTTGATGAGTTTCCATAGAGGGCACTAAAGATGACCAATTTTGAATGTATAAATTCAGTGTTCACTCACTAGGTTTTGTTTACTTTTTCTCTACATTGAGGGCACTACCCAGTTATGCATTCTGACATTTAAAGGATTCTAGTGGCTTGCAAATGCTCCAGGGGGATCAAAATTAACTTGATTGGGTTCCCTTCCTGAACACCATGTGTCCGTTCTGGCCTTGGACCATTCTCAAGGTAGCTCCCAAACCAGTCTCTAGAGCTTATCCCAACACTTGATAATAATTTCTTTTCTCCTTTTGCTAAGTTTTAGTTTCAGCCTATATTTTCTGGTCTGGCTTCACCAGCTGTGAAGTTATTGCTTATTTGGACATGCTCTGACCTCACTAGTTTTCATTTTGACTATGTGCAATATGACTTCTGCCTCAAAGAACCACTAATTCTAGCTCACCCTTATTTAGGCATTTACTATATTATGTGCATTATTTTCTTTAATCCGTACAACGAACCCTCAAGGGAGGTGCAATAAGTATCTCTAAATGATAGATGAGGCACAGGAAGGTTAAGGATATTATCTTAGGTCACACAGCTCATAAATGGAAGAACTAGAATTTGAACCTGAGTTTCTCTGGCCCTAAAAGCTGTTCTTTTAACCAGTACGTGAACTATCTCCCTTAAATCAGCAAGTGTTTCTCGGCTAGCCAGTCATGCAGAGCAGCTCTAGCTTTTCCATGAGCCTGTGATTCTCTAATGGCAAGCCACAGCGACAGCCACTCCCTGAGCATGTGCTGCATGCCAGGCTCAATGCTGGAGGGTGGGGCTGAGTTCTCTCATGCTAGAATAGCATTTTCTTACAAGCTAAACCTCGGGAGGGTTATTGGGTAGGAAGAAGCACTTCCTGCGTATGATTCAAGCTGGAAAAGGAGTCCCACATTATGAATCCCACAGTCTTTCCTGTGTAATGCCATTATGAAGACCTCACAGAATCACCAGCTAATTGTACATTTTTGTTTAATACCTTAATGCTCCAAATCAGTTAGAGATGTAGGCTTACAACTCCTACTTTAACCCCAAACACCAATACACAGAGGGAAAAGGTCTTTTATTTTATTTTCCTCATCAGAGTTCCCCAGCTTCAATGCTGCCCACCCTGATTGTTGACTCTTTGAATTGAGATTTGTCTGAATGATGCATCTAAGAGAAGTACATGGTAACTAAGGAGACAATTTCTATGTCTTTCTCCATCTGGTGGCCTCCAATCCTAGTTCTCCAGCTGCCTTGCCTTCATGCTTCAGGGATTCAGAATCATGATGTAATCATGGCTCAGTCACATGTTTGGGCATGTCTACCTTCCTCAGTGTCTTAAAAGAAAGCTCACTCTAGGTGTCAGGTAACTGCCCTTTATTTCTTCACTATCTGGTAGAAATTAAATGGTTGCAAGAGCATTTGTTTGTTTTTAGGTTTTTAGTTTTATTCTGTTTTATTTTATTTCCAACATTGAAAAATAAACCTGAGAATCTGGAAGGGGAAAGGCCAAACCAATAGCAATTGCCCTGGAATTGGGGGCATTCCCAATAAAGAATGTTTAGATGGTGTATTTATTCCAATTCCAATCCAATTCAATTCAATGAATATTTGTTGAATGCCTGTCGAGAAACTAAGGAATGAATAGGACATGGCTTTCACCCTCCAGGAGTTCACACTCTAATGGGAAATCGACTTGTACACTGTTAATTCTCAAAGAAGACCGTAATAAAGGTCTATACAGAAGTTTAAACAAGATGCTTTGGGAGTGTTGGAGGAGTAAAAAGTTATTTCTAATTAGAGAGTCTGGAAAGATGCTGTTTGAAAGAAGTAGCTTTTGAGCTTGGTCTTAAAGGATTGATGAGACTATTACAGGAAGTCATTAAGGTGAAGGGTAGTTTAGGCTGAGGAATCGCACACTCTACAGGTGTGCAAGCCCAGGGAATAAATGGCAATTGGTCTAATAGGGTGGAGAGCAGCATGAAATACAACTGGAGAGGTGAGTTTGACCCACTTTATGAAGAGCCTTGAATACTAGGCTAAGGGTTTGAGCTCGCTGTGTAGATTAAGGGGATTCTTGGATACCCACCCCCAAAATTATAGAGGAGCCTATTTTCTATCATCATAGCCCTTCGTTCTTTCTCAGTGGTCCCAGATTCCTTCCAGTTACATTCATATTTATTTGGTGAAGATTCTCTGTGAGAAATTGCTTGAGTTTAAAAAACACACTACATGAGGTAGAAATACTTGAGTTTAAAAAACACACCACATGAAGTTTATTTAAACATCTTTGATATATCAATAATGCATTTAATTTATTCCTCTTCCCAGTAGTGTATGTAGCTACATATACTTTGTATAATCATTAAATAAGATTACAGCCCATGTTGATATAACTAACCTAAGAGTGATTATTCATGATCTGGGTGATATTGCATCTGGAATTTACCCTACTCTGTCATCTGTTTCACTCACTTTGAGTTTATACCATACCAGTTCTAGCTGTTCTGTCAGATTTCTCTTTACTAGCTCCATTTATGGTCTTTCTCTGTTGTTGCTATAAGACTGTCAGATTAAATTATATCAGATGTTTCTTTCTTTAAGATATGTTAACTTTGCTCCATCCTCTTTCACCATTCAGCTTGTCATTCTATCATGAACAGGAATTAGCTTCGTTTGGCATGATTTGTGTTTGAAGAATTTGTATTGACTACTGTTTATCACTTGGGTTTCCCCTAGATACTCATAAATGACTGCCTTAATAACTCTCCTCACAGCTTACCAGATATTGAAATTAAATTTATGAGTTTAATTCCCTGAGTTCCCTGGGGACTTTTTTAAAAAGAAAAATGAAACAAGGCAGTTTCATGACTCATAGCAACTCTTCCATAATAACCAGTGTGATAAAGAAAAACATTTTGCAGGGAAACAAATTTCAGTTTTAGCCTTCCAAATGATTATTACAAAAATTAACAAATAAAATTTTTTAAGTACTAAAAGACATCCTGTGTCCTTTAAGACTATTTATTTATTGCACTCGCACATATTGTTTAGTGCCATGACAGATGCCTAGAAATTATTAATCCACTAGTTTATAATCTATATTTTGTGCTGGAAAGTGAAAATTAGGCCTTTTTATATTCAAATTGTTGCATACTTGGAAAACAGCCCAATAATTGTAATTTTTTATTTCAAAATATTAAAGGGGTACAGATTTTTTTGATATATGGCTTGGGTTAGGGCTATAAATGTGCTTATCACCTGAATAGTGTTCATCATACCTATTAGGTAGGTTTTTGCCCTTCCCCTCCCCCCTCTCCCCCCGCTGAATAAAATTAGATTTCCAAAGACTTTTACTTTCCTCTGTGTACTAACTGTGCCCATCAGTTAGTTCTAATATATTAGAGAGTACATGTGGTGTTTGTTTTTCCATTCTTGAGATACTTCACTTAGGATAATGGTCTCCAGTTCCTTCCTAATTGCTGCAAAAGGCATCAATTCATCCTTTTTATGGCTGAGTAGTACTCCATAGTATATATATACCACATTTTGTTAATCTGCTCATGAATTGATGGGCACTTGAGTTGATTCCACATCTTTGCAATTGTGAATTGTGCTGCAGTAAACATTTGGGTGCAGGTGTCTTTTTGATAAAATGACTTCTTTTCCTTTGGGTAGATAGCCAGTAGCAGGATTGCTGGATCGAATGGTAGGTCTACTTTTAGTTGTTTAAGAAATCTCTATATTGCTTTCCATAGGGGTTGTACTAATTTGCAGTCCCACCAACCGTGTATAAGTGTTCCTTTCTCTCTTCATCCACACCAGAATCTATTGTTTTTGGACTTTTTAATAAAAGCCAATAATGGCACTTTTTTAAAAGGTTATTTTGCAAGTACTGACAGTTGGTCGGACATATGCTAAAGTTCTGTTTCAGGTTGTTGAGGCAGCCTGCCACAGTTTGGCTAACTCTACAATTTACCAATAATGCACTGACCTGAGACTTACTTGAGTCTTACCTTCACTGTAGGTAGTAGGTAGGTAGCTGTGGAGTGGTAGATAGGCTGAGAGTGGACCATAGCTACCTATAAATCTTTGCAGATGACTGGCAAGAGTCATTGATGATGAATATTTGATAGCAAACAGTAGGATGCTTTGAAAGGGATGAATGCATAGAACATCGAACAACACCAAGAGCTTTAGTGGGATTTAGGTTCCTGAAGTTGCCTAGCCAAGACTCTGCCTGTTACTGAAGCTAGGAATATGTGGAGTGACCAGTTTACATCAGTCATGGTAGAAAAGTAATCGAATTTCTCTAACTGGAGCAGTTTGAACCCAGTGAACAACATGGTGATGCTACAGTCCCTGTTCTTGATGTTTTTGGGAAAGTGGTAACATTTCTTTTCCATTCTGAGATAGTACTAGCCCATTTACAATAGCTTGATCTAGAGGCAAATATTGTTTAAGAGCTCTTTTGTTGTGTAATATTTCTCAATAAGTATGATGGATATTCATGGTGCCTTTTACTTTGCTGCATGTCATAATTATAATGCATAGGATTTTTACTTGTTTGTGTGAATGCTTTTATTCCAAAGACTGCCATCCAGGGCCACGCAGCAACCAAGCAATGAGAAAATATCCCACTATGTGATCCCAGTCTGGGATCATATTTAGGATGAGAGAACATGCATTAGTTACCTACCAACTTGACAGGAATGGATTCCAAATTTGACATGCCATAGCCTCACTTCTCACCAGTGTGCTCCTAGAATGATGAGCCCATGGTGAGCTCCTTAGAGTTTGTTAGTGGGGGGAAGCCTTGGGTTTCAGGAGAAAGTATTCTGATGACATTTTAAGAAGCCATTTCATTCTTAGTAGAGTAGAAAAAGTCTGCATCTGAGTCTGTGGTACAGTCTGTTCTCTGAATGAACACAATGACTGTCTCTCTCACATTTTTCTGATATTTATTCTGCAAATCAGCTGCATGAGCCCCTGCCACTCTTCTGAATAAGCTTCCAGGCATTACCTGCATGCTGTGTTCCTGTGGAGGGATGGCAGTAATCTCTGCTAAGATAAACGGGAGCTTCTGTGGATAGAGCATAAACCTAGTGAAGTGTGTGTGGCTGTAAGATTTAATGCCTCTACAGGTAATTTTTTTGGAGGGGGATCTGGCATTTAATCAAATCCAGAGTCATTATGTAAATTTAATCACCTTGCAACACACTAGTAATTTTATTATCTCCTTTTCATTTGTCAGTGCTTAGATACAAGTTGAACTTGGAATTCCAGAGGTAGAGCACTGCAGATTGGAGGCATATTAAGGAAAATGTACGGTGGAAATGAGATAAAACCTTTATTCTTGCCATTGATTGTCATTCTTGTATGCATACAGGTGTCTAACAAAGGGTTTGAGAATAAAATATGCCTGTTTAATGTTTTCCACCTTTCTTAAAGCCCTCAATGAATTGCAAAGAGCCTATTTGGAATGGACTGTGTTAAATCTACTCCTGTCAAGTGAAAACCTTTACACTGAGTAAGATATGGTTCAAACTCTCCTTAACATAGGAGCCTTTACACTTGTGTAGCCCATTTTGGCTTGGACTCTGGTCACAAGAATTCTGAGGTTGGATTATTTATGCCATAAGGTTTACTTAAAATTGAATACAATATTTCCATTTATCAGCACCAGTTTTGAAAGGTGTTTAAAAAGTGCAATGGACTTGATAAACCTATATGGACAAATTATTCATTACCACATGAATGTTCATATTATGAGGGTGAGGAAGAAAAAACTTGGTCAATTGGATTTCCCTAAGGCACATGGGCTTTTCAACCCTGTGATTTGTGCTAATGATTATGTCTTAATAAAGGTAATGAAGCTAAATACTTTCTGTGATCTAAAGAGTGAAATTAGAAAGGAGGGAAGAGGGGAGACATGATACTGTGCTGAACTGACCTTGCTAAGGCAGAAGAAATGGTACTTTTTGGTGTCTTTTCTTTCCTCTACTTCTGTGTTTTACTTAATCCACTTTTTCTCATACTTAATTTGAAGAAACTCTTGAGAATATCTTTTCTCCTGCAGACAAAGACTCCATGAGTTCCCCGATCTTTATGTTGGAATGTGTAGGCCCCTGTTCAACCAGGAAGTCTTTCCTTTAATCAATTGATGTCTCTCTTTTTTGTATCTTGCAGGCATGGAAGCCAGTGACTCAGGCAAATGCCCCTAATTTAGGCTCGACTGAGATGATCAGGTTTCCCCTACCTAGAGTGCTACTTATTGGAGTGAAAACTTTTCTTCTTTCCAAAAACCCTTAATAACTCCATGACTCATAACAAAGCTTCATAATGGGAAATCAAAATGGTATGAGATTAAGATTGAAGTATCTTACTATTCAGTTGCCTATCAAGGTCACTATCTATTATTGGTTTACCACTTGACTCAGTTGTCTCATCCTAAAATGGAAATAATAATCACTACCTACCTCTAGGGATTGGTATAGGATTTAATGAGACATTGGATGTGAAAGTATCCAGAACTAGGTTTGGCACAGATTTCAGGTCAAATTGATATTGGATATGATCCAATGATCTTGTGAGGGCTAAAGGGTTATAATCCGGGGTAAGTATGCAACCCTAACAATGGGGCCGCCATGCACAATCCTGGTGAGGGTCTGAATCAAATGAGGATAATGAGGATCTGGATCAAATGAGGCCTCTGGCTTAGGTGTCTCCCTTTGTGGTTGTAGCTGATAAAATAATTCCTCCTTTGTCACAACATCATACAGAAGCAGGCTCACGTGTATACACACGTACACACATGTGGCTTGGGGTTAGAGAGTATATCAAAGACTTGCACAGTGGAGAAATGATGAGATTGCTGTTAGGAGATGTCCTAATTTGGCTAAAACCCGCTGTGTGACTTTAGGAAATGGACTTACCCTCTCCATCTCAATTTATCTATCTATCTATCTATCTATCTATCTATCTATATCTATCTATCTATCTGTCTGTCTATCTCATCTATCTGTTTATCCATTCATCCAACCGTCCATCTATTCATTCATTCAATAAGCACTTAGGAAACATATGTTTCACCATATTGAGTGCTGGTGATAAAAAGATGAATATGATACTTTCTCTCTTCATAAAGAGCTTATACTGTGGTTGGGGAGAAGGACAAGCAAATAGTAATTATAAACACTCTCTTAATCCATTTGGGCTGGTATAACAGAATACCTTAGATTAGGTAATTTATAAATAACAGAAATATATTACTCACTGTTCTGGAGGCTGGGAAGTCCAAGATCAAGGTGCTGGTAGATTCAGTGTCTGGTAAGGGCTCTCTGCTTCACAGATGGTTCCTTCTTGCTGTGTCCTCACATGATGGAGAGGGCAAGAGGCTAACAAGTTCCGTCAGGCCTCTTTTATAAGAGCACTAATCCCATTCATGAGGGCTCCACCCTCATGACCTAATCACCTCCTAAAGAGTCCACTTCTTAATGCTATTGCTTTGGAGGTTAGGTTTTAACATATGAATTTGAGAGGGTACACAAACGTTTAGACCATGGCAAACACTATTTTAGCAAGTGACAGAAGTATGCAGAGGGTATTATGGGAATAAGGAGAAAGTTTCTTTTCCAGCCTGGAGTGGGAGTGAGTGGTCATAGAAGACTTTAGGAAGAAGTGGTGCTTGGGCTAAGTCTTAAAGGGTAAAGAGGTGTTTACATGGTGACATAGTGGGGAAAAGAGAGTGTCTAGGCTGATAGTAAAACCTGGGCTCTAATACTCTGCAATGTCTGTACTGTCCCATATTGGCAAGAGTTCTGATCAGATTTTACAGGCATACATGAACATAGACCCAGATTTTCTTTGTAGCCTACCAGATGTGTTCAGAACATTGTGGATAAGTACATATTTTAGTGCTTCTGTAAAGGGATAGAAAGTAAATATTTTAATCTTTGAGGGCCATAAGGTCTCTGTTGAAACTATTCAACTATGTCGTGCTATTTCATTATAGTTTTAATTTGCATTTCCCTAATATTAATAGCTAATCCTGTTGAAAATATTTGAATATACTTATTTGCCATCCATAAATCTTCTGTGTTAAAATATCTGTTCATGCATTTTTCCCATTTTCTAATTGAATTTTTTTCTTACTGTTGAGTTTTGAGAGTTCTTTATTATATTCTAGAGATGAGTCCTTTGTCAGATATGTGGTTTGAGGATATTTTCTCCCACTTTATAGCTTGCTTTTTCATTCTCTTAATAGTATTTTTCACAGAGCAAAACTTTTTAATTTTGATAAAGTCAAATTTATCAGATTCTTTTTTATGGATCATCCTTTTGGTGTTATATGTAAGAACTCTTTGACTAACTCAAGATCATGAAGATTTCCTCCTATTTTTTTCTAAAAGTTTTATAGATTTATGTTATATGTTTAGATCTGTGATCCAACCTTGAGTTAATTTTTATATAATGTATGACATTTAGGTTGAGATTTTTTTTCACATGGCTGGTTGTACGATGGTTTCGGTACCATTTGTTGAAAAGACTATCATTTCTTCATTGACCTGTTTTTGCATTTTTGTCAAAAATCAATTGGCCATATTTATGTGAGTCCATTTCTACACTCTGTTCTGTTTTATTGATCTATGTGCCCTTCCCTTTGCCATTACCACACTGTTTTGATTACTGTACACATATGGTAAGTCTTCAGATCAGATAATGTTGTTTCTACAATTTTATTCTTCTTCAAAGTTGTTTTAGCTCCTTTAGTTTCTTTGCTTTTCATATAAACTTTGCATTTCACTTATGTATAAACACAAAAAGTTTCTAGGAACACTCATACACTACTGGTGGGACTGCAACCTCTGTGGAAAGCAATATGGAGATACCTTAAAGAGATACAAATAGAACTACCATTTGATCCAGCAATCCCATTACTGGGAATCTACCCAAAAGAACAAAAGACACCCTATGAAAAAGACACCTGCACTCAAATGTTTATATCAGCACAATTCACAATTGCAAAGATGTGGAAACAACCCAAGTGCCCATCAATACATGAGTGGATTAATAAAATGTGGTATATGTAGACCACGGAGTACTATTCAGCTATAAGAAACAATGGCGATATAACACCTCTTGTATTCTCCTGGATAGAGCTGAAACCCATTCGTCTAAGTGAAGTATCCCAAGAATGGAAAGACAAGCACCACATGTACTCACCAGCAAATTGGTTTCACTGATCAACACCTAAGTGCACATATAAGAATAACATTTATTGGGTTTCGGGCAGGTGGGAGGGGGGAGGAAGGGATGGGTATATCAATACGTAATGAGCGTGATGCACATCATCTGGGGGATGGACATGCTTGAAGCTCTGACTTGGGGGTTGGGGAGGGCAAGGGCAACATATGTAACCTAAACATCTGTACTGCCATAATATGCTGAAATTAAAAAAAAAAAAGTTTCTGTTGGGATATTGATTGGAATTGCATTAAATCTGTAGATTAGTTTAAAAATTGACATCTTTACTATGTTGTGTCTTTCAATCCATGAATATGATATATCTCTCTGTTTATTTAAATCTTCTTTGCTTTCTTTTATCAGTGTTTTATGGTTTCAGGATGCAAAGTCTTACATATTTTGTTAGATTTATACTTAAGCATTTAATTTTGTTTTGAGCTATTTTTAGTGGTATATATATTTTTAAATTTTGGTTTCCAATAGTACATTGCTAGTATATAGAAATACACTTGATTTTTGTGTGTTGACTTTACATTCTACCACCTTGGTGGTA